GGATATGGGGCTGATTTAGTCTGTCACAGAAGCAAACTATTTGGCTTATGCGAGCTCTGAGAGGCGGTCTATGCCAGCTGCGGATAGTTTAATTCTGAGGAGTCTGGAGAGGGAATAAATGCCAGAGCCCAGAAAGAGAAAAGGGTCTTTGAGAAAGAAGGCAGCTACTGGTGCTTGCCCCTGCTGCTGATACAGTTTGATGAGAAGTTGGAGATATCATGAAATGAAGATAGGACTTGCCCAAGGAACCCAACCACCCTTACCAGCAGGAAGTAACAAAAGAGAACACTTTCTCTCCTCACTAACCTGCTTTCCCTCCCTTTTCTCCTCCCATATCCCTCCCCTAGTCCACTGATAGGGGAGGTCCTCCTCCCCTTACATCTGACCCTAGTTTATCAGGTCTCAACAGGACTGGCTGCATTGTCTTCTTATGTGGCCTGGTAATGCTACTGGAGGTGATCAAAGAGGCAGCCACTGAGTTCATGTCAGAGACAGTCCCTGTTCCCCTTACTAGAGTACCCACCTGGATATTGAGCTCCCATGGGCTACATCTGTGCAGGGGATCTAGGTCATTTCCATGGAGTATCAGTCTCAGAAAAGACCCTTGTGCCCAGATTTTTTGGTTCTGTTGCTCTCCTTGTGGAAGTCCAGTCCCCTCCAGGTTTTTCTATGTACCTCTTCTTTCATTAGATTCCCTGGGCTCTGCCCAAAGTTTGGCTATGAGTCTCAGCATCTGCTTTGATACCCTGCTGGGTAGGGTCTTTCAGAGGCCCTCTATGGTAGGCTTCTGTCCTGTTCCCTGTTTTCTCCCTCTTCTGATCTCTATCCTTTTTGCCTTTCTAAGTGAAGATTGATCATTTTACCCAGGGCCCTCCTTCTTGCTTAGCTTCTTAAGGTGTACAGATGTTAGTATGATATCCTATAGTATATGTCTAGTATCCCCTTATAAGTGAGTATATACCATGTGCGTCTTTCTGCTTCTAATTCATTCAGTGTGGGAAGCAATTGGGTTGATTCTCATGTCACCCAGCTAAACCCTGGAAGAATTCCTCCTTCCTGGCAGGAGCTTGGTTGCCAGCCCAGAGCCATGCCTGTGTGCCCTGATCACCATCCCAGACTGCACTGTGGGACCCACAACACCAGAAACTGGGTTTTCCAGTAAAGAGAAAACCCAACAGTGAAGAAAACAATAGGATCAACCTCAGGTCATGCAGACAATTCCCGGAAAAGGTTCAGGGCTCTGGCAGCAGCAGCCCTACTCATCATCCCAGACATCCCTGCTTTGTGGGTCCCAAAGCAGCAAAGACTGGGCTTCCCTGTGGGAAGGAAACCCCACAGTGAAGCAAACATCAGGTCTGACCCAGGGCACCCAGCCAAAACTTTTTTTCTTCTTTTGAGAACTCTATGCGGAGATATTGTGTTTTTCTTTTTTTTAATATAATTTTTTATTAATTATAGTTTTTTCACTTTGTAGCCCAGCTGTAGCTGCACACTTAATCCTCTCAATCCCACCCTCCTCCCTTCTCATCTTCTCCCATGTCTCTTCTCCAGTCCACTGATAGTGGAGGACCTCCTCCCCTTCAATCTTACCCTAGCCTATCAGGTCTCATCAGGACTGTCTTTCATAGTCTTCCTCTGTGGCCTGGTAAGGCTGCTCCTCCCTCAGGGAGAGATGATCAAAGAGCCAGCCATTGAGTTCATGTCAGAAATAGCCCCTGTTCCCCTTACTAGGAAACCCACTTGGACACTGAGCTGCCACAGGCAACCTCTGTGCAGAGGTTCTAGGTTATTTCCATGAATGTACCGTGGTTGGAGTATCAGTCTCAGAAAAAATCCCTAGGTCCAGATTTTTTGGTTATGTTGTTCACCTTGTGGAGCTCCAGACACTTCCAGGTCTTCCTATCTCCCCCTTTTTTATAAGATTCCCTTCACTCTGCCCAAAGTTTGGCTATGCGTCTCAGCATCTGCTTTGATACACTGCTGGGTAGTGTCTTTCAGAGGCCCTCTGTGGTAGGCTCCTATCTTGTTCCTTGTTTTCACCTTCTTCAGATGTCTAACCCATTTGCCTTTCTGAATGAAGATTGAGCATCTTACCCAGGGACCTCTTTCTTTTTTTTTTTTAATTTTTTATTAATTACACTTTATTCATTTTGTATCCTCCCATAAGTCCCTCCCTCCTCCAATCCCGATCCCACCCTCCCTCCCCTTTCTGCATGCATGCCACTCCCCAAGTCCACTGATAGGGGAGGTTCTCCTCTCCTTTCTGATCTTAGTCTATCAGTTCTCATCAAAAGGGGCTGCATTGAACTCTACTGTGGCCTGGTAAGGCTGCTCCCTCTTCAGGGGAGGTGATCAACGAGCAGGCCAATCAGATTATGTCAGAGGCAGTCCCTCTTCCCATTACTATGTAACCCACTTGGATCTGTGCAGGGGTTCTAGGTTATCTCCACGAATAGTCCTTGGTTGGAGTATGAGTCTCTGGGAAGTTCCCTGTGTTCAAATTATCTTGTTCTGTTGCTCTCCTTGTGGAGTTCCCGTCCCCTCCAGCTCTTACTATTTCACACTTCTTACATAAAATTCCATTCACTCTGCCCATCAGTTGGCCATCAGGCTCAGCATCTGCTTTGACAGTCTATACTGCAGAGGCTTTCAGAGGCCCTCTGTGGCAGGTTCCAAGGTTGTTTCCTGTTTTCTTCTGGCTTTCAGAGGCCCTCTGTAGCAGGTTCCTAGGTTGTTTCCTGTTTTCTTTTTCTTCTGATGTCCATCCTCTTTGCCTTTCAGGATGGGGATTGAACATTTTAGTTAGGGTCCTCTCTTTTGCTTAGTTTGTTTAGATGTACAGATTTTAGCGGGTTTATCCTATGTTGTATGTTTATATGAATGAGTATATACCGTGTGTGTCTTTTTGCTTCTGGGACAACTCACTCAGGATGATCCTTTCCAGGTCCCACCATTTACCTGCAAATTTCATGATTTCCTTATTTTTCATTGCTGAGTAATACTCCATTATTACTGCATCCATTCTTCAGTTGAGGGGCATCTGGGCTGTTTCCAGCTTCTGGCTATTACAAATAAAGCTGCTACAAACATGGTTGAGCAAATGTCCTTTTGTGTACTTGAGCCTCTTTTGTGTATATGCCTAGGAGTGGTATGGCTGGATCTTGAGGAAGCACTATTCCTATTTGTCTGAGAAAGCTCCAGATTGATTTCCAGAGTGGTTGTACAAGTTTACATTCCCACCAGCAGTGGAGGAGGGTTCCCCTTTCTCCACAACCTCTCCAGCATGTGTTGTCCCTTGAGTTTTTCATCTTGGCCATTCTGATGGGTGTAAGGTGAAATCTCAGGGTTGTTTTGATTTGCATTTCCCTAATGGCTAATGAGGTTGAACATTTCTTTAAGTGCTTCTCTGCCATTCGATATTCCTCTACAGAGAATTCTCTCTTTAGCTCTGTTCCCCATTTTTTAAGTGGATTACTTGGTTTGTTGCTTTTCAGCTTCTTTAGTTCTTTATATATACTGGATATGAGTCCTCTGTCAGATAAAGGGTTGGTGATGATTCTTTTCCAATCTGTAGGCAGTCGCTTTGTTTTGATGACGTGTCCTTTGCTTTACAGAAGCTTTTCAGCTTCATGAGGAGGAACCTCTTTCTTGCTTAGCTTCTTTAGGTGTACAGATTTTAGTATGATCACCTAATATTATATGCCTAATAGCTATGTTTATTTTTCATAACTTCTTTTTTTAAGATTTGTTTATTTATTCTTTATACAGTATTCTGCCTGCATGTGTGCCTGCACACCAGAAGATGGCACCAGATCTCATTATAGATTTTTTTTTTTGAGCCACCATGTGGTTGCTGGAATTGAACTCAGGACCTTTGGAGGAACAGCCAGTGTTCTTAACCTCTGAGCCATCTCTCAAGCTCCCAGTGTTTATTTTTCAAATGGGATGTTTGTTTTTTATAATTTTTTACTTTTTGAGTTCTTTATATTTGCTGGGCATTAATCCTCTATCAGATGTAAAGGAGACTAAAATTTAGTTCCACTCCATGGGTTTCCTCTTCATTCAGTTGATTGCTTCTTCAGCTGTCCAGAAGTTTTTTTTAGTTTTATATGGGCCTACTTGTTTCTTGTTGGCCTTAATTCTTGGGTAATGGAGTCCTATTAAGCAAACCCTTTACTCTTCCCACATTTTTTCTAACAGGTTTAGTGTATCTGGTTTTATGTTGAAGTCTTTGATCCGCTTGGACATTAGTTTTGTGCAGGGTGATAAGTATGGATCTATTTGCATTTTTCTACATGTAGATGTCCAGCTAGACCAGCACCATTTGTTGAAGATGCTATCTTTTTTTCCAATGGTTTTGGCATCTTTGTAAAAAATTAGGTGTCCATAAGTGTGTGGATTTATTTCTGGGTCTTTTGTTCAATTCCATTGATCCACCATTCTGTATGTATGCCAGTACCATACAGTTTTTACTACTGTTGCTCTATAGAGTATAGCTTGAGATTGGGGATAGAGATACCTCCAGAAGATCTTTTATTGTAGAGGATTGTTTTAGTGATTCTGGGTTTCTTGTTTTTTCCACACACAAGAAATAAGTTGAGAATTTTTCTTTCATGGTCTGTAAAGAATTCTGTTAGTAATTTGATAGGAATTGGAATTGCATTGAATCTATAGATTGCTTTTGGTAAAATGGCCATTTGTACTATGTTAATCCTGCCAAGCCATGAGCATGGGTGATCTTTCCATCTTCTTTTTTTTTTTTTTTTTATTTTTTTTTGTTTTGTGTTTTGTTTTATTTTTTATTATTAATTACACTTTATTCATTTTGTATCCCCCCCATAAGCCCCTCCCTCCTCCCCTCCTGATCCCACCCTCCCTCCCCTTTCTGCATGCATGCCACTCCCCAAGTCCACTGATAGGGGAGGTTCTTCTCTCCTTTCTGATCTTAGTCTATCAGTTCTCATCCATCTTCTTATATCTTCTTCTATTTCCTTCTTCAGAGACTGGAAGATTTTTGAACTCATTGGCACAGAAGACAACTTCTTGAACAGAACACCAACAGCACCGGTACTAAGATCAACAATCAATAAATGGGATCTCATGAGCGTGAAAAGCTTCTGTAAAGCAAAGAACACTGTCATCAAAACAAAATGACAGCCTTCAGCTTGGGAAAGGATCTTCCTCAACTGCATATCTGACAGAGGTCTAATATCCAGAATATATATATAAAGAACTCAAGAACTTAAACAACAACAAATCAAGTAATTCAACTAAAAAATGGGGTACAGAGCCAAAACAGTGAATTCTCATTAGAGGAATATCGAATTTTAGAGAAAAACTTAAAGAAATGCTCAACCTCCTTAGTCATCAGTGAAATGCAAATCAAAACGACCTTGAGGTTTCACCTTATACCCATCAGAATGGCTAAGATCAAAAACTCAAGTGACAACACGTGCTGGAGAGGATGTGGAGAAAGGGGAACCCTCCTCCATTGCTGGTGGGAATGTAAACTTGTACAACCACTTTGGAAATCAATCTGGTGCTTTCTCACACAATTAGGAATAGTGCTTCCTTAAGATCCAGCTATACAACTCCTAGACATATATCCAAAAGATGCTCAAGTACACAACAAGGACATTTGTTCAACCATGTTTGTAGCAGCTTTATTTGTAATAGCCAAAAGCTGAAAACAACCCAGATGCCCCTAAGTTGAGGAATGGATACAGAAATTGTGGTACATTTGCTCAATGGAAAACGACTCAGCAATTAAAAACAAGGAAATCATGAAATTTGTAAACAAATGGTGGGAACTAGAAAAGCTCATCCGGAGTGAGGTATCCAAGAACCAGAAAGACACACATGATATATACCTACTTATAAGTGGATGTTAGACATATAATATAGGGTAATCATGCTAAAATCTGTACACCTAAAGAAGCTAATCAAGAAGGAGGACTCTGGGTATGATGCTCAATCCTCATTCAGAAAGGCAAAGAAGATGAACATCAGAAGAGAGAGAAAAGAGGGACCAGGACAGGAGCCTACCACAGAGGGCCTCTGAAAGACTCTACCCTGTAGGGTATCAAAGCAGATGTTGAGACTTATAGCCAAACTTTGGGCAGAGTGCAGGGAATCTTATTAAAGAAATGGGAGATAGTAAGATCTGGAGAAGTCAGGAGCTCCATAAAGAGAGCAGCAGAACCAAAAATTCTGGGTCCAGGGGTCTTTTCTGAGACTGATACTCCAACCAAGGACCATTCATAGAGATATCCTAGAACCCCTGCACAGATGTAGCCCATAGCAGTTTAGCCACATAGAGTTCAAGTGGGTTCCCTAGTAATGGGAACAGGTACTGTCTCTGACAGAAACTGATTGGCCTGCTTTTTGATCACCTCCTCCTCAGTGGGGTGCAGCCTTACCAGGCCACAGAGGAAGACAAAGCAGCCACACCTGATGAGACCTGGTAGACCAGGATCAGAAGAAAGGGGAGAAGGACCTCCCTTATCAGTGGCCTGGGGGAGGGGCATGGGTTGAGGAATGGGAGGGAAGGTGGGGTTGAAAGGGGAAGAGGGAGGGAGCTACAGGTGGGCTACAAAGTGAATCAACTGTACTTAATAACAAAAAAGAAAGAAGTGTAAAAAACAAAACAAAAAATAAAAGAAAGCTTTATTTTATCAGTTTCATTGTTTCAGAAGTCATGTGTAAGTCCTTGATTCATTTAGAATTTATTTTTTCATTTTGCAATATGAGAGCCACAGGTAAAATGTTATTCTTCTGTATGCAGACACCCAGTTTTCCAAGCTGTATTTGTTGAAGATGCTTTCTTTAATCTATCTTAAATTTTTGGAATCCTTGTTAAATATTCAGTGACTGAAGTTAAATGTATTCATGTTTCGTCCCTTTGTTTTCATCCATTTGTCTATGTATTTGTTTTTGTGCCAGTACTGCATTATTATTATTATTATTTTGTAATATATCTTAAGGTCTGGACTGGTAATCCTTTAGCATTGTTATTTTTGTTCAGGATTGTTTTAGTTATGCAGGGTTTTTTTTATGTTTTCATGTGAATTTTAAGATAGTGTTTTTCTATTTCTAGAAAGTATGAGATAGAGATTTTGATTAGAATCGAACTAAATCTCTAAACAAGTTTTGATAAAATGTCCATTTTCATTAATATTTATCCTATAAATCCATGAGCATGGGCTATATTTCCATTTTCTAGTGTCTTTATTTCTTTCTTCAGAAGTTTGAAGTTGAAGTTTCATTGTAAAGGTGTCTCATATACTTGGTCAGTTTTATTCCTAGTTGTTTTTTTTTTAGGCTATTTTTAATGAGTGCAAGACTACCATCACCTTCTGTATATTTATTTTTGGTGTATAAAATAGCAATTGATTTGTGCAGGTTGATTCTGTTTTCTGCTACATTGCTGAATTCACCATTTCTGGAAGTTCTCTTATTGAACTTCTATGATCTCTCATGCACATGATATCTCAAAATAGAAATAACTAGACCTCTTTCTTTCTTTGCATCCCTTTAAATTTCTTCTCTTGCTTTATTGCTCCAGCTAGTGCTTTGAGCCCAATATTGAAAAAGAATGAGGATAGTGGGCATCCATGCTGAGTTCTTGAATTCACTAGTATGGCTTGAAGCTTTTCTTCATTTAACATCTAGTTAGTAAAGGTCAAGGGTTATTTATATAATTTTATTAGGATAAGGTGTGCCCCTTCTATCCATACATTTTCTAGGATTTTTATCATGAAGGCATGTTGTATTTTTTTTAATTTTTTATTTAACTTTAATTAATTACACTTTATTCATTTTGTATCCCCCCTAAGCCCCTCCCTCCTCCCCTCCCGGTCCCACCCTCCTCCCCAAGTCCACTGATAGGGGAGGTCCTCCTCTCCTTCTTTCTGATCTTAGTCTATCAGTTCTCATCAGAAGTGGCTAAAATCTTTTTCTGCATCTAATTGAGAAGATCATATGATTTTTGTCATTAAGCCCTTTTATGTGATTCATTACATTTATGTACTTGCATTTATTAACCCATCCCCACATTTCAGGGATAAACCCTAATTGGTCATGATGGATAATATTTTTTATGGATGTCTGTATTTTGCTTTAAAGTATTTTATTAAGCACTTTCAATTAATCGTCATCAGGGATATTGGCTTTTTTTGTCTTTATCTAGATTGGGTATTAAAGTGATACTAGCTTTGCAGAAGGTTTCAGAGCTTCTCCTTCCTTCCTTCCTTCCTTCCTTCCTTCCTTCCTTCCTTCCTTTTTTTTTTTTTGCATAGTTTAGGAAGGATTGCTGTATGTCTCCTTTAAAAGTCTAATAGAATTCTGTTAGACTTTTGTCAGCTGGACGGTATCTATTACTATTTTAATCTTCTCTCTTTCTCAGGGCATATGCTTAGATTATTGATTAGTGGTTTAAATGTGGTAGTTTGGCCTAAACTAAAAACAAATCCATATTTTTAGATTTTTAATATATTCTTTTCCAATATTCTGAAGTTCTTTGGTGTCTGTTGTAATGTTTCCCTGTTTATTTCTGAGTCTGTTAATTTTGGTCCTCTCTTCCTTTTCTTTTAAAATTCAGTTGGGCCTTGTCAATTTTGTTTACCTTCTGAAATACCCAGTTCTCAGTGTCCTTGATTCTATGCCCTGTTGTCTTTTTTTCTATTTTATTGATTTATGTTTTGATTTTAATTTTATTTTGGTCAGTTGTATGTGAATTGGGTTATTGTTGTTTTCTCAACCTTTTGAATTGGACTGCATACCATTTACTTGTGTTATTTTTTATTTTTTTTAACATGGTCACGTATATCTATAATTTTTCCTTGTAATTTTATTTTCAAGTATCCCAGAGATTCTGTTATGGTGTCTTTATTTTCACTTTTTCATTTTGTTATGCTGTGTTTTCAAATGTTCTTTCTTTCTTGTTTCATTAACCCATTCATCATTCAGCAATAAGTTGTATTAATCTTCATGAGTGTGTATTTAATAGAAATTTGTTTGCTGTCAACTTTAAGTTTTATTGATCTGTGGCCAGATAGGATGCAAGAAGCTTCCATATTCTGCTGAGTAGAATTTATTTTCTTTGAAAAATAAATTTGGCGAATCCTATAAATATATATTAAGCTCATTTGATATATAATATCAATTTGTTCTGATGTTTCTCTGTTACTTCATGTCCAGATGGATCATTTATTGGAAAAATGGGGTATTAAAATCACTGCCATTGCTTGCTCTTGGGACACTTTTCCTCCTATTGAGTTTTGTCCAGCCTCAGTATGAGGGTTTTTGCCTTGCTTTATTGTATCTTGTTTTGTCCTAATTGACTGTCACTTCTTAGAAGCCTACTTTTTTTTGAGGAGGAAGAAATGCAGGTGTAATGGATTGGGGGGGGAGGGGAGATGGGGAGAGAGCTGGGAGGAGTGAGGGAGGGGAAACTGGTCTGTTCTGGATGTGTTGTATGAGGAAATAATCTATTTTCAAGAAAAAAGAAACCTCAGAATAATAAATTTTATCTTTATCCTTAAGAAAAGAAAGAAAAAAGAAAGAAAGAAAGAAAGAAAGAAAGAAAGGAAGGAAGGAAGGAAGGAAGAAAGAAAGAAAGAAAGAAAGAAAGAAAGAAAGAAAGAAAAGAAAGAGGACAACTAGTTCTACTTCTCTTGGCCTTGATGTTGAGCAAGGCTAAGACAATCACCAACTGAGCTCCATGGGGCAAGGCACAAGACTGAGATGACAGGTCCAGGCAGGCTCATGAAGCCCGAGATGATACCTGCCCACTGCCACATAGCACGGGCAGAACATAGCACTCCGGAGACCACTCCTGAGATGATCTCAGATATCCGTAGGCCCTGGGCACCACTAAGATGAGCAAGTAAGTGATGAAGAGATGGAAGAGAAAGAGAAGCAGAAGGATGTGTGCATAATGAAGAGAGGCAGAATTGGAGACTCCAGTCTGATGTGAGCAGCAGCTGGTGGCACCTAAGACCAGTATGCAGTCGTGACCTGTTCTGCCACTGAGGACTGTCTTGGTCAGTGACCCTGCAGCAGCAGAAGTTTGTTATCACCAAAGCCATGCAGATATCCCTAGTCTGGGCTGCAGCCTGGGCCCATGTTGATGTCTAAGGGTTTTGTAGAACAGCCTGGGTGTTGTAAGAGAGCTGGCCTTGAATGTGGTAGAGCAGGAGAACCGTCCTTGTCCCTTGCCTGCTTCAGGACTTGGTAGAGCAGACCTTTTGCCTTGTCTGGGCAACACAGTAGAGCTGGTCCTATTGGATGGGCTTGGGTGAGCTAGCCCAGAAGGCATGAGAGTGGCTGATTATGGCTGTTGATGGCTCTGGCACTTGATCAGCTAGCCAGGGCAGCACTGGAGAACTTGTCCTTTTGGTGTGAGTGTGGGAGAGCTGATGGGCTGACCAGTTCAGATACCAACCAAACCCAGTGCTTTGGGTTGGTCCACCCCAACATCTACCCATCAATGAACTGCTGGAGCATGTGCAGTAGCCAGTCCTACAGATCCAAAGCTTGAGGATCTCCGTGACTGACACAAGACAACAGTAGGCTATCCAAGAGGATCCAATAAAGTTAGTATAGCAAAAGCCAGAGTCCTTGAACCATACTAATGACTTACTGCAGTGGACATTTGCAAACAAAGAAGTGTAGATAAAAGGTATGCTGTGGGACACACTGTGATATACTACAGCTTTCATAATGAATTTTTTTTTCAGAGGGGTTGCAAGAGTAGAACATGGGTATACCTGAGTGTAGAGATGAGTATGACTGAAGTACATGATGTGAAATTCACTAAGAGTCAATAAAAAGTTAAACAGAAAAGAAAAATCACTGCTATTAATGGACTGATGTTAATCTGTGGCTTTATATCCAGTTGTTGATTTGTTTTCTTAAATGAAATTTGGTGCCTAAGGGTTTGGTGTGCATTTGTTTAGAATAGTAATGTCTTTTGGTTAACTGTTCCCTTGATTAGAATGACGTGTTCCTCTTTATCTTTTCTGATTAGTTTTGGTTTGAAGTGTATTATGTCAGATATTAGTTTAGCAAAGCCTGCTTGTTTCCTGGTCCCATTTGATTGGAATATGTTTGTCTCTCATTTTATTCTAAGGAGATGCTTATATTTAAAGCTAAGATGTGAGGCGGGGCAAGATGGTGGCGCCGGGAGGACTCTCATTCTGAGGAGCAGCACAGCAGGATTGGCACAGTGACCAGCAATCAGAACTCGCGGCCATAAAACACAAGGGATTGTGTTGCACAGGTGAAAGGATACCCCACGGTGGGGATTCAATCAGCTTTAAATCACCCGGCTAAACCGTGGAAGAGATCCCGGTTCCACCAGGCACTTGGTCGCCAGCCCAGAGCTACACGCCAGCGCGATCTGGTCACGGTCCCAGACTGAACTGTGGGCCCACAACACCATAGACTGGATTTCCAGTCCAGAGATAACCCCACAGAGCAGGAAACAATTGGGACCGACCTCAGGTTACCCAGACATCCCCTGGAAAAGACTCAGGTTCCGCGGGTGCCCCAAGAGCC